CACACACACACACACACACACAGCCACACAGCCATACACACAGACACACACAGACACACACAGACACACACAGACACACACAGACACGCACAGACAGCAGGCCACGACCCACTTCCTAACACCAATCCTGGCCACTGGCAGCAGCAGCATCAGGATCAGCTCCCCTCTCAATCAAACGCAGCGGGCCCACCCTCTCCTGTTATTCCTGCTGAAATGGCAGACGCTAATGTGGATACGTTGGCTCAGCCCACCCTCTCCTGTTATTCCTGCTGAAATGGCAGACGCTAATGTGGATACGTTGGCTCAGCGGGAGACCGTGCCAGCCGCTACAAATAATGTAAACGTTGTCGCAATGGCTGCAGGGGATGAAGGCCTGCATCCTGGCAATGCGGCGACGACTGCTGCTGAAAGTGTGCCGCCACCATCACCGCCTCTGCCTCCATCAACCCCACCACCTCCACCCCCACCACTACCACTACCACCGCCCCCACCACCATCAACACCTCCTCCCCCGCCGACATCTACTACAACATCATCCCCTCAGTCATCTGCTTCCTCTTCTTCATTTTCCTCTTCTTCTTCCGCCGCCTCCTCCTTGTCGTCCTCCTCCTCCTCCACCTTGCATGCCTCCCCTTCTTCATCGACCTCATCATCAGTGCATTCATGGTCAGATCGTCCATCACAAAGGCTTCCGTCGGCGGAGGCATCCAGCGTCGGATCGATCGTTACAGATGCCTCTTCGGCGGAGACGTTCCCCATCTCCACCGCCACCTCCAAGACAGTGGCCTCGTCCTTCCTGGAACAGCATGAATACCACACCCCCTGCTGCAGTGCAGGGGTTAGAGATCTGCTCCGATGACATGCTCACAACCGTACAGAACACCATCGTCGCTCTAGATATACACTAGCTAGGAGTAGTACATATCGAGTCCGATGCCCACAATGTGGTGATGATTTCTTCAGTGCTGCAGGCCTGTGTGTGCACCCGTGTCAGCTACCTGCGCAGCATTTGCACGACTAGCAGCGGCCACTTTGAGCACAAGTGTGACTGATCAAACTCAGAGTCTGCTTCCCGGATCTGACCCATCTATTCCTCATCCACCTGACCCTGCATGCTCCCCTGCCTCAAATGATAATGAGCCACCTTCTGATCACCTGATGGAGACTCCGATTCCAGAAGATCTCTCTCTGGAGCGCATACTACAACCGGAGGAATATGACAGAAATGGTCAAGACTGCAATGAATCTCCGCCTGCCGTGCAATCTGGAGAATTTGAATGAACCTCCCCCTGCTGCACAACCTGCAGAATTGGACGATGTCATAGTGCTGCAGCGAGGGCGCTGTGCGTACTATGCCATTAATGTGTGTCTCCTTGCCTACAATTGCAACCATTATACTGTTTCTGATTTTGCAGACGTTGTCCGCTGAATAGAAGAAGAGCACCGTGCCGTCTGCCTACAGGACAACAGTACTGCACCTGGCGCGAACATACTGTCTATGGCATTTATGGGTAGGCGACTACAACTCAAGCCTACTCCACAAAATCATGTGCCAGGCATGGATCCGAATATTCGGGCATACATCTTACATCGTCCAGGTGATTTCAGTGCTCTTACCTTTGCAGATAACTCATGGACCCTATGGGACAATGGCGGTAGGGTGCACGCAGCAGGAAGTATCAACCCTTTCTATCACTAAGCGGTAGAACATCACTCGGTCTGGCTTGTCCATCAGAAACAGTATGGCGATGAGCAGTGCTTGCCTCCGGAGAGCAAAATCTGGCTGAACCTCCGTCTTCCCCTGTGCATGGTCAGGCAGCATCCCCCTTCTTGTGTGCAGCGGACGGATTCTACCACGAGCAGTGAAGGGACCTCTCCAGGGGATGGAGATTGAGGCCTCCTCCCATTGTGTCGTCGCACAGGTACAGTCCGGCTAGCATGTGCACGACATAGCCTCTGCTCCGAACGCTATGAAGGGATGGTCGCTGCCAGCCTTTGTCGTGTACTCAACCCCCCAAACCCCTTGATTACTTGCCCAGTATGCTGTTGTGGACTCAATTTTCCATGCTTGAATAATTGTGCACATCAGCCTTCTTTGCTGATGACATGTTAACAACATGCCATGTGCCGTCAATGTTTCCAGGAAGCTGTCATAGAAAGTATGTGTCTCTACTGCGTGGACTATCCCCGGTGCCATCATCCGCCACATCGTCTCCTAGCATAAGCGGTTAACAACTTAACAGGGACCCCCACTTTTCAGCCCTGGTTAACCTCCTCAACCTTGGAAACACACTTTTGCCTTGCTGTTTTATAGGTTTTTAAAGTTTTTTTTTTCAATATTTTTTTAAAAAGTAGTTAGTATGATCTCCACTCTATGAATTGGTGGCAAGTTTGGTTAAAATGACCCTTGGGTTTTGTTATAAATGGCCTGACAAGTGGTCTGAAAATTGAGGCCTCCGTTAACCGTCTCTCTCTAGGATTTCATAGTGAGGAAACCCAAGAAACCTGCTCCATGCCGATTTGTGATGACCCACCGGAGATTCAGCTAGCATGTGGTTTGCATGCCTTATGCTGTGAGGATTATGAAGGGATAGCCCGGGCGAGCTTTTGTCTTCATACGTATGATGACAGTCTATACTGCATTGATGTACCACTGGCACGCCCTAACATGTCATGTCCAATTTGTAGACAGGGGCTGGGACGGCAATGCCTCTACAATTGTGGCCGGCGTGCCTTTGTGTTACTACCACGTAGGAGCCATGTAGCTTGTGACATCAGATTCTGTCTACGCCGTGCCATTCGATGCAGTAACTGTGACTGTGAGAATTGGATGCGAGGCTTCCGCTGGCCACACCCAAACCGGTCCTGCCCGGTCTGTAGAGGGTGCCACTTACCATTATAGGCAACAACTGCTCCTCAAATCTTATGCAACCCACACACTGACTGGCCTCATGTGCCATTCTAGAGTGGTCTGCCCCAGCAGTCACTATTTAGAACCCTGTCAGAACTCCCACCTCCCATCTCCTTCCTCCCTCCTATTACGAGAACAGACAAAATATAAGTTGAAGATCTGAGAAGAGATGAACAGGAATATACCTCCGCCTTTGCTCTGCGTGCAAGTGGGCCGTTATGGCACACGGGGATGTGGGCAGCTTGCAGTCCACCATAATCAACGTGGCGAGCCTTGTGCATGCGAGGCACGGTAAAGGGGGACATGCAAGAACAAATGAAAGGGGTACCCCGAAGAAAGCAAGTGCGAACACATTCAAGAAAGAGGGTTACATGCAGATGTTGCACTTCACGTTGCTTGCTATTCAGGTGTGAAACTGTTTCATTGTTAGGTTCTCTGAACTCAAGGGCTTTCATTGTCTGTAATAGGATTAAATTATTTCTTAAATATGCTTTGATTTTGGATCTGTTCGTCTGGATGCAATAGGGGCTGTTGTGGTGAAAATTCAGAACACAAACACAGACACATAGTACAGACACGCACAGACACACACCCTTTCTCAGTTGCAGACTCTGACACTCACTGAGACATTCACTTTGCTGTCATTTCGTTTCATGCTTCCCTCCTTTTTAGGTTTTGTCTTTTTTGGGTGTCTCCCTTTGACATAGTTAACACCATACTAATTTTGTGTGTTATTATTATACAATCATACAATGGTCTTTTATCTTTTTCCCGGAGGCCGTTTTCCTAATAGCAAGAGGATATGATGGGAACGGTATGCTGTTTAATGACAGAAACCCATGCGGTTCAACTACGGTTCTATCTAGTGGAAAGGTGGGGGGGAAAGAGAAGGAAGGAAATCCTGAACAGCATACAAGAAGGGTTTCAAAGGTCGTCTTTCGTTACAGCGATACATTGCCTGAGGATTGGTTGTCATTATCTGTGTGTGTGTGTGCGTGTGTGTGTGTGTGTGTGTGTGTGTGCGTGTGTGTGTGTGTGTGTGTGTGTGTGTGTGTGTGTGAGAGAGAGAGAGAG